TCCCCGTTCTCGTCGCGCTCTCCGCCGCCGCCGCCGCCGCCGCCGCCAAGCAGCTCCCCGGCCGAGCACATCCCGCCGCCAACTCCCGCTGCCCGGGACGGCCGTCGGAGGAGCCAAGCCACGAAGCCGGAGGCAGCGATCGCCGCCCGAGGGCCGCCCTGGGATCGGCCACGCTAGCTGCTGACAGGAGCCTACGGAGCGCGCCCCGGCGGCCTGGGCGCCGCAAGTATCAGCCCGGCCCGGCCTCTCCTGTCACCGGCTCGCCCCGCCCTCGGCCGCCGGGGCGGAGCCCACCCGGGGAAGGGAGGGGCCAGGGCAGAGGCGGGGCCAACGGGGCGCGCGCGCGCGCGCGCGCGCGCGCGCGGGTAACTATGTACTTTACAGACTGTGTGTGAGAGAGATTGTGAGAGAGAGGCTCTGTGTGTGTATGTGTGAGAGACTATGAGAGAGAGTGTTTGTATGAGAGACTACGTACGTAAAGACTGTGAGAGATTGTGTATAAGAAATTGTGTGTGCATGAGACTGTGTGTGTGAGCTCGTGTGTGTGTGAGAGCCTGTTAGGCACTGTGTTGAGAGAGACTGTGAAAGACGCGGAGTATGCGTTTGTGAGGGAGAGAGGAGAGCGTGTGTTGGTAGGTGTGTGAGAGAGGGAAACACACGCAGACACAGAGCTCCACACTCCAGCGGGGCCCCTCTGTGCTTGCCTGGCACTGGCAGTGTGCCTGGGCGTGATGCTGGCTGCCTGTTCCGGGTAGCTGTCCATCCTTTACAAGTAATACACATTCTCCGTCTATTTTGTTCCTTTTGCCTCCTCTCTGTGTCTCTCTGAAGGTCTGAAGGTCTCTCTCTGCTGAGTGCTTCCCTGGTGTGTGTTGGTTGTTGGAGCCTTGGGAGCACTTGGTGGTGTATCTGCCTTTGTGTATATGTCTATAAATGGGTAAGAATATGTCACTCAGTGTGTGTGGTAAGGGAGACATCTAGTTTATAATTCTTTTTCATGCTACCTGTGGTATTGCAATTTATAATAAATATGTATATATATTTTGCCTTTGTCCCCATTCCTGGCACAGAGCTCCTAAAACCTTGGAGTTTCCTAAGTGGTGAAAGGGATAAAGATGTCTTTTGTTATGTTAATGAGACAACTTTTTGATAGCCCCTAGGTAACTTAAGGGTGGGGCCTGGTTGTCTGAAGAACCAGCCTTGTGATTAGAGGATTGGAACTTTCAGTCCTCCCTCTGATCTCCTGGGAGGGGAGCAGGGCTGGAGGTTGAATTGACCACCAATGGTCAGTAGTTTAGTCAATCATGCCTTTGTAATGAAGACTTCATAGAAACCCAAAGAATGGGGGTTTAGAGAACTTCCGGGTTGGTGAACACGTGGAGATGGGGGAAGAGTGGCAGCTTAGAAAGGGCATGGAAGCTCTGTGCCCCTTACCGCATACCTCACCCTATGTACCTTTTCATCTGACTGTGCCCCTGTATTCTTTGTAATATCCTTTATAATAAACTCCTAAAAGTAAGTAAACGTTTCTCTGAGTTCTGTGAGCAGCTCTAAGCAAATTAGTGGAACCCAAAGAGGGGATCGTGGGAACCTTCAATATATAGGTGGCTGGTAGAAGCACAGGTAACAGCCCAGAGTTGCAATTGGCAACTGACGTGTGTGTGTGTGTGTGTGTGTGTGTGTGTGTGTGTGTGTGTGTGTGTGTGGGGGGTGGAGTTGGAGCGAGGGGGAGGTGGGGGGGGGCAGCCTTGCGGAACTGAGTCCTTGGCCTGTACGATCTGTGAACTTATGCCCAGATAGGTAGTGCCAGAACTGAGTTAACTGCTTAGTGGTGTTGAAAAACACACATCAGACTACCCTACCCATTTTGTTAAAGGGAAGTTGAGGGCACTTAAATAAGGTATCAAAATTTGTATATCTCTTATCTGTATTTTGAAAAGATAATAGACTATTGTATAGATAAAATATCAGGCTATCTTTCAATGGAAAGTAAATATGCCTAGGTATGGAGAAGACTGAGTTATTTGAGATGTTCTATTAAAATGTCTCTAGGCCCAGAGGGAATTAAAATAGGCGGGAATGTAAAGACTTATTTTAAAGACCTGTTTCCTGGTTTTAGTAATAAGGACTGTAGAAGCTAGAAAATATGCCTTTGGCTATCACAAATTAGAAAGAAAATGAATTTGGTTTATTTCCTTTCTTAAAAGCCTTTAAAACCCCAGAGGAAAGTATTTAATATTATATATAATCAGAAACAAATGTCACCATGGGAACCCAATAGCATTCCCTGTTGGACCTCAATTGCTTTCCTCTAATGACATTTTCATTCTTGAAATTTTGCTTTGGCTCTTAGTAGTTCTTCTTATAAAAAATGACCTTATATATATTTTTAAAACAAAACTTCAGGATTATGTATGTGGCACAGAGAATATCAGCTTTTTACTGCCAACTCTGTGGAGCTTAAGGCACATTTTGAAGTTCACCCTCTTTTGGCTTGTAGCTGTTAACTTGGTAAATCGAGTGGCTATGCACTCTTCAATCAGGTTACGGAGTGAACTGTACTTGAGGACTCAGAAGGCATAGAATTTATATATCTGGCCAGGAAAAAAAGAATAATATAGAATTTAGCTTTGTTCAACCTAGGGGACAAGTCTTACTTAAGTGCTTTAGAACATACTGTCTGGCCTTTTGGAAAGTCAGGCTTCTCAATTCTTTGAGAAGTGTATTCATTCAGTACTTAGCAGATATTTATTGAACACCTCTAGGCATTAGGCCCAGGTCTAGGTCCCTCCTCTCATGTAGCTTCCATTTAATTTTCTTTTGAGTTCTATTCTGCTTTTCCTGGCAAAAGCCAAGAACTTTCACCAAAAGGTGGCCAGAATCCACTGATTCCTGCCTAGGACTGATGTCAGAACCTCTTCATTTTCTTAGTATCTATCTTTTACTTAGTGCTTGGGTTTCCTCTTTGAACTGTTATTCATTTGTTTATAGAGACTTTAGTCTTTCCTGAAGATTTATAGAATCACCTCTTATTAAAAAACCCAGTAGTAGCATTTTATACAAAAGACATTATTCAGGTTACATCACAGATAACATACTTTCAAGTGTGTCTTATGAGAGGGGAGGACTGTTTTCCCCCTGTTGCATACTATGAATAATAAATATATAAAGCTATTACTGCCCATTTCCTATGGGAAATATAAGATTCTTATTACCTAGGCAACTATGATGTGTTGGTCTCAAATTGTATGCAGTTTAGTTATGATTTTATTAGTGTATTTACCTTGTGTTTTCCCAGGAATTAATAAGTGGCAAAAAACAGACTCATTTCTCAGGAGTGGCCTGTGTAGTGCAAAGGTGTCTTGTACAGTTGCTGTGGGAACTCTCTCACTTTCACACATTTAATATCTTATTTTTAATGTTCTTCCACTCTTATGTGTACATCTTTCCAGAGAGAAAAATTAACAAATCAGAGTGATCTGTACTCATTTAGTAATATAATATTAGAAACAAATGCAGTTATTTGTAGAAACTGTGCCAAACTTCATTTTTCAGTTTAATTTTTGACATACTATGATGTTATTATATGCTTCCTGTGCTTTAATTTTTGCCTCTCATTTTTAAAAAAAATCTGTTTCTTTCCTGTTTAGCAGAGCTTTTGGTATGCGGAATAATTTTTGAGATGTTTGAAATCTTAACTAAAATCCCAGGAAAAACTATGGTTTCTGGACAACATGTGAATTTAAAGGAAAAGGAACTTATTGGAGAACACTCACTTCCTTTATCGTTCCTTTATTTTAAGGAAGCTATATCAGAAACATGGAGAACCAATGCTTTCTCAATGTTCTCTAGCCATCCCAGAGAGTCCATTCTGATTGGGAAAAGGAAAAATTTACCCTTCTTCTTGGAATTAATTTGTATTCTCTCTTTTGTAAAAGAACAAAATTCGACTGAATAAATTTTAAAGATCTTATTGGTTTTATTCAGCCATTCATCAATCAGGCAGCATCCAATCTAGCAGATAGAAAGGAACTCCAAAGAAGTGTACAACTTAACAGGGTTTTATAGACCAAAGTGAGCAGGAACGAGACAGTTATACTGGGCATTTGCTGATTGGTTAAAGCTGGGTTATCCCCTTATATGGAGCAAAGGAAGTCTTGGGGCCTGGTGAGGTAACTTGTGCTGGGCAGGCAAGGGCTGATCAGTTGACCTAGGCCTTCCTTCTCTGAGGCTTGAAATTTAGTTAAGTTTTGGTTTGTCGATGTGGTGTTTAGCATGAGTGACTTCATCTTGGGCCTAATTTGTTTACCTTAACTGTTTTATTCTCTTTTTCTGGTGTGACTTCTTTGCATCCACATGTACTACTGAGTTCTCTCCTTACAGTAGGAATGTAGATTAAGAGTTGTGTTTTCACTAAAAAAAAAAAAAAAAAAAAAAAAAGGGTTGAGAAGGCTATTCAAACTCACTAGTAGAGAAAAAAGTGGAAAAGTAAACAATTATAAAGTACTACTTAATATATGTTAGCAATTTTTAAAGTGTTGAATAAAACCTAATGTGGACAAGCCTTAGAGAAATGGTTAAACTCAATTACTGCTAGTAGCACTGCAAACTGATGGCATTCTTTTGGTGGTACATATTCAGAACCATAAAAATATTCATACTCTTTGGCCACTAACTGCAGACCTAGAAAAAAATTCAAAAGAGGTTAAAAAAAAACAAAACTGTTTGGTGTTCAAGGCAAAACTATAGTGAAAAGTTGAAAGAAGCCTAAATGCTCTCCAGTAGGGACATGTCTGAGTAAACTATGGAATTCCAACACAATTAAATGTATAAGGCCTTAAAATAGTAATGATAAAGATTTTATATCAGTGTGATAAACACATTTAATATGATGTTAAGTGGAAAAGTGCAGCCTGACAATAGCAGAGCCACTTAGCCTGTATCTCAGGAGCTGGGAAGATAAAAAGTGTAATACAGAATTTAATTCTGTTCAACTTAGGGAATAAGTCTGACAGAAGTGAAATTATGTGAACATATAGATCAAATTTGGACGAGAAATTTTAAAAATGTTTTCTGGGTTGTGTGTTTCCTAGTAAAATTAATTTTAATGTTGTAATTTAAAAATAATCATTTTTAAAGATCTGTTTCTGTTTTCTTTGTAAAATTGGATGGCTGGCACGCAAAGCCTGGTTGCCTCAACTTCATAGCTGAAAGTTGTTACCTTTTGTTGAATAATTTAGTTGTTGAATGGGTTTGGATCTTTTATTCATGCTGTTCTCAATAATTTAGAATCTTAAGTTGGAAGGAATCTAAGAAGCATTTTAGAACAACCTCCCACCAGTATAGGGATCCCTTCTATAACATTCCTGACAGACGGTCACCCTCCTTTTGTTTGAAGGCTTCCAACTATGGGAAACTCATTACTTCATGATGTTCAATTTCCAGATATCTCTAGTTGTTAGAAAGTTCTTTACAGCTACTGAGTTGAATCTGTATCCTTGTCTCCTCTGCCTACTGGTCCTAATTATTTCCTGAAGTACAAGAGAACTGATTAATCTTTTTTTTTTTTCCCCTCAAGACAGTCTTTTGAATGTTTTTTAAAAGGCAGTTTTTGTCTTCTCTTAGCCTTTATTCTTTCAGCTGTTATTTATGGATAGATGTAGAATTTGTAGATTTTGCCATTTATTATGTGTACCTACTTCTTATGTTAACAGTACCCCAGCTTTTTTTTATTGATTCAACTCTCTCCCACTCTGTCTGTGATTTCAGTGAAGATGACTCTATTCCTGGATCCAGGAGTGGAGAATATGACCTTTACTAAGTAAATCAAATGCATTTCACCCTTCCTACCTCCCATGGCTATAGTGACTGATTTGAGGATGTGCACATGGCCCAAATCAGGACCGTCAGGGCCAGTGAAACTCAATTCTGGGATTTTTGTTTGTACTGTAGAAAAAGCAAAGTCTTGTCTACAGGATTGGTGTGTGGTGATATGAGCTTGGAACTGCAGGAGAACCATCTTATAAGGGCCTGAGAATGAAGTCTGTCCAGCAGAATGCATGACTGAGAGATGAGCTCTTTGTGGTACGCAGGCCTCTCACTGTTGTGGCCTCTCGCGTTGCGGAGCACAGGCTCCGGACGTGCAGGCTCAGCGGCCATGGTTCACGGGCCCAGGCGCTCCGCGGTATGTGGGAATCTTCCCAGACCGGGGCACGAACCCATGTCCCCTGCATTGGCAGGCAGACTCTCAACCACTGCGCCACCAGGGAAGCTCTTGTGTTGGCTTTTTATCACTTACTAAAGAAATTAGAATGATACAAGCTCTAAACTAGGGTACAGAGGAAGTGAAGTGGTTCTGCTACTATCAGACTGCAGAAATGTGGGCAGTTCATTTAAAGTCTCTGGTACTGAATTGCATCATCAGTAAAATGAACAAGTTTAACTGGACAATTTGAAAAACCTCCTCCTGCTTTAAACTTCTATGATTTCTGTATGACTTTGCCTCTAGATCTAACCTGAGTGTCTTGGCTGCTGTCATTTGCTTTTATTCCAGTTGGTCAAGTTGTTCTTCTTGGAGGGGTTAACTCTCAAAAGCAAAAGGATAGAAAGAATTTTCCTATGCTGCATATTTTTTTAATCACTCATATTGAAATTATTTTCCCTATTCCCTACCCCTCAATCTTTTAAAATGTTTTAATGAACATATAAATTGTCCTAATATTATTCTAAGACATCTATAATTTTAAAACTTTGTCATGAAATAACTCCCTTTACTCAGTGAAAATTAGGTCTATTACTGTCTTGTCTCTAACTTTTCATTTTGAAAAATTTCAAACCTTCAGAAAAATTGTGAGAATAGTACAATGAACACCAGCAGAGCTTTTACCTAGATTGGCTTGTTGTTGGTATTTTTCTGTATTTGCTTTCCTGTGTGTGTTTTCCTAAATAAATCTATTATTCTTAATGTGTCTTTAAAACAGTATGTATTAAGAAAACTAAGGACTTCTAAGAGGATTCCTGGAACCATTTAGAAGAATCTGGAAAAGTAGAGTTGGTACAGGGTAGGGACTAACAATTCAGAGTCTTGACTTTTCCTGAATTTCAATCCTGGCTCTCTCTAATCTTCAGTTCTCATATTTGTGAAATATGGGTATTATTGGCATCTATTAATTCGTATTAATTAATTAATTAGTATTAATATTAAATACATTAATTAGTATTGTTATGTGAGTAGAGCTCACATGAGATGTTTGTGATTTTTCATTGCTTGTGGGAAACCATAGTTATCTGTGCTCTGCTAATGACATTGCACCTTGAGTTTCCTCACATGGGAAATAAATTTGTGGTTGGCTCAAAAGGGACTGCAAAGAGCTGAAACAGAAATTAAAGAATATGTGTTTTTGGCTGGGCAAGAAATTAGACCCCATGCTGAAAATTTCAAATAGCATCTGCCGGCAAGGTACTAGTGGAAGTAAAACTAGATAAGGGTAGCAGATGGGTTTTATCTCATGTGCCAATTACTCTTCATGGCTGCCTGGTACACTGTATAAGATAGCTTGTGAGAACTTTTTGGGAAAGAATAACTGCCATGGCATGGGAGATATGAGCACTGGCACAAGTGCCATGTATTTGCCCCTCCGATCTAGGTCTGAAAGACAAAGGAGGCAAGTTTCAGGAATGGGAAGTGAACTTGACATCTGGCTAGTAAATACATTTAAACCTGAGGAGATTTTCTGCCCGTTCCTGTGAACTGGAAGCTTCCCTCCAGCCAGGCAGCTGGCAGCCAGAGCCTGTCCCTTTTCCTCTTGTACCCAGAGAAGTGTTTGCACTCTTAACTAGAGCTCGTGGGGCGTCTGCAGAGATTACATCCTACTGCATCCTTGACTTTCCTGGTGCGGTGCCACCTTGGTGCCACAGTCCCTAATTATTAGGACGAAACCCGTTCCGAGAAACAGCATCCGCCCTCCCACCCCATCCTCCCTGTGGGTGTGGGGGCAGCATCAGTGTTTGGATGCCAAGCTAGGACCCGCACTGTGTCTCCAAAGGCAGTCGGTTCTGTCAGGGATGGAGGTCAACCCAGAGTAAGGACTTGAGTAATTGGGGGCCCACATTAGAAGACCCTGAGCCTGGAGAAGAAGCAAGATGGCGGAGTAGAAGGACGTGCTCTCAGTCCCTCTTGCGAGAACACCAGAATCACAACTAGCTGCTGAACAATCATCAACAGGAAGACACTGGAACTCACCAGTAAAGATACCCCACATCCAAAGACAAAGGAGAAGCCACAATGAGATGGTAGGAGGGGTGCAATCACAGTAAAATCAAATTCCATAACTGGTGGGTGGGTGACTCACAGACTGGAGAACACTTATACCACAGAAGTCCACCCACTGGAGTGAAGGTTCTGAGCCCCACGTCAGGATTTCCAACCTGGGGGTCTGGCAATGGGAGGAGGAATTCCTAGAGAATCAGACTTTGAAGCCTAGTGGGAACTGATTGCAGGACTCTGACAGGACTGGGGGAAACAGAGACTCCACTCTTGGAGGGCACACACAAAGTAGTGTGCGCATCGGGACCCAGAGGAAGGAGCAGTCACCCCAGGGGAGACTGAACCAGACCTACCTGCTAGTGTTGGAGGGTCTCCTGCAGAGGTGGGGGGTGGCTGTGGCTCACTGTGAGGACAAGGACACTGGCAGCAGAAATTCTGGGAAGTACTCCTTGGCGTGAGCCCTCCCAGAGTCTGCCATTAGCCCAACCAAAGAGCCCAGCTAGGCTCCAGTGTTGGGTTGCCTCAGGCCAAACAACCAACAGGGAGGGAACCCAGCCCCACCCATCAGCAGTCAAGCAGATTGAAGTTTTACTGAGCTCTGCCCACCAGAGAAACAGTCAGAGGTACCCACCACCAGTCCCTCCCATCAGGAAACTTGCACAAGCCTCTTAGATAGCCTTGTCCACCAGAGGGCAGACAGCAGAAGCAAGAAGAACTACAGTCCTGCAGCCTGTGGAACAAAAACCACATTCACAAAAAGGTAGACAAGATGGAAAGGCAGACGGCTATGTACCAGATGAACGAACAAGATAAAACCCCAGAAAAACAACTAAATGAAATGGAGATAGGCAACCTTCCAGAAAAAGAATTCAGAATAATGATAGTGAAGATGATCCAAGACCCTAGACAAAGAATGGAGGCAAAGATTGAGAAGATGCAAGAAATGTTTAACAAAACCCAGAAGAATTAAAGAACAAACAAACAGAGATGAACACTACAGTAACTGAAATGAAAACTACACTAGAAGGAATCAATAGCAGAATAATTGAGGCAGAAGAACGGATAAGTGACCTGCAAGACAGAATGGTGGAATTCACTGCTGCAGAACAGAGTAAAGAAAAAAGAATGAAAAGAAATGAAGACAGCCTAAGAGACATCTAGGACAACATTAAACGCAACAACATTCGCATTATAGGGGTTGCAGAACGAGAAGAGAGAGAGAAAGGACCCGAGAAAATATTTGAAGAGATTATAGTTGAAAACGTCCCTAACATGGGAAAGGAAATAGCTATGCAAGTCAAGGAAGCACAGAGAGTCCCATACAGGTTAAACCCAAGGAGAAACACGCTGAGGCACATAGAAATCAAACTGCCAAAAATTAAAGACAAAGAAAAATTCTTGAAAGCAGCAAAGGGAAAATGACAAATAACATACAAAGGGCTTCCTGTTCTCACAGACGCTCCGGCAGTAACAGTAATCAGGGACATCCTGCTGTTTGGGATGCTGTTGATGAACGCCGGGGCAGTGCTCAACTTTAAGCTGAAAAAGAAGGACACGCAAGGCTTTGAGGAGGAGTCAAGGGAGCCCAGCACAGGTGACAACATCCGGGAGTTCTTGCTGAACCTCAGATATTTTCAAATCTTCATCGCCCTATGGAATGTCTTCATGATGTTCTGCATGATTGTGCTCTTTGGCTCCTGAGCTCCAGGTACAGAACTGGAAACACACCTTCTCAGAGTGTCTTTTCCTCCATTCCTGACGACTTCAAGAATGTTTCTGACCAGAAAACCAGTGACCTTCCCAGAAAGTCCAAGCTTGTGGTGGGTGGAAAAAATGTTTGCCAAGATAAACATAGTTTTCCAGCCACGTCACTGTTTTCTTTTCAAAGATATTTTCACTTTGATCTCTGCCTTGAAATGCTGTCTACTTAAAAGAGTTTGAAGAGTGTTTATGTGAGGAGCTGTGGTGTCTAGATTGTTTAATCAGATCAGAATCCCTCTTCTACCAAACTTTCATAGGAAACCCAGTATTTCTTGGTTTATTTTTAATAACCATCCTTTTTTGGTTCAAATTATACAGATTTAAAAAAATCTTTTGTATCCAGGAATCTGAAGCAGAAAGGTTGGCTTTTAAGTTTGATGCAGCCTCTCATTGGACTGCATTTGTGAGGAATGAACAAGTTCATTGTTGTTGCGTCTGTGTCCAAATTCTTTCCCTGTCCCAATGGGCTCTGCTTGGCCACTCCATGCTGCTGAGGTTGTCCCCAGGACTTGAAGGGTGAAGTGTTATGGGTTCCTGTGGAAGAGAGGTGCAGAGCAGTTGGCAGGGTGGATGGGGGTTTTATGAAAAACTTTGCCTTGCCTTGAAGCCCTCTATTAAAGTAACTTTTGGGGCCATTAATTGTATAGTTGTTAGAATGAGAGTGATTTATGTGGTGATATTGGGACCCAGTTCTGAAAGCTTGGGTTTTGGGGTCTGCTTTTCGAGTGGATGATTTCAAGGTTGAAAAACAAGCCTCATTGGAGGAAATACAGCATTTTGCATAGAAGCTTCTTTGAAAGGGAGTCCTGGTTTAATCGCCAACATGACACTTGGGTGGTCAGTGCCTGGATCCTACAGGTGTTTGATTTGTTTGTTGTGGTTTTTGAAATCCTAACTTGCAGGTAACCTGGTGGGAGGAAAAAATAAATATGCAGGCTACTAAAGAGCATTGCAAATAAAGCTCATTTCTAAAAAGGAAAAAAAAAAAAACATACAAGGGAACTCCCATAAGGTTAACAGCTGATTTCTCAGCAGAAACTCTACAAGCCAGAAGGGAGTGGCATGATATACTTAAAGTGATGAAAGGGAAGAACCTACAACCAAGATTGCTCTACCTGGCAAGGATCTCATTCAGATTCGATGGAGAAATCATAAACTTTACAGACAAGCAAAAGCTAAGAGAATTCAAGACCACCAAACCAGCTCTACAACAAATGCCTAAGTAACTTCTCTAAGTGGGAAACACAAGAGAAGAAAAGGACCTACAAAAAGAGACCCAAAACAATTAAGAAAATGGTCATAGGAACATACGTATAAATAATTACCTTAAACGTGAATGGATTAAATGCTCCAACCAAAAGACACAGACTTGCTGAATGGATACAAAACAAGACCCATCTATATGCTGTCTACAAGAGACCCACTTCAGACCTAGGGACACATACAGACTGAAAATGAGGGGATGGAAAAAGATGCAAATGGAAATCAAAAGAAAGCTGGAGTAGCAATACTCATATCAGATAAAATAGACTTTAAAATAAAGAATGTTACAAGAGGCAAGGAAGGACACTACATAATGATCAAGGGATCAATCCAAGAAGAAGATATAACAATTATAAATATATATGCACCCAACATAGGAGCACCTCAATACATAAGGCAACTGCTAACAGCTATAAAAGAGGAAATCGACAGTAACACAATAATAGTGGGGGACTTTAACACCTCACTTACACCAATGGACAGATCATACAAACAGAAAATTAATAAGGAAACACAAGCTTTAAATGACACAATAGACCTGATAGATTTAATTGATATTTATAGGACATTCCATCCAAAAACAGCAGATTACACTTTCTTCTCAAGTGCGCATGGAACATTCTCCAGGATAGATCACATCTTGGGTTACAAATCAAGCCTCAGTAAATTTAAGAAAATTGAAATCATATAAAGTATCTTTTCTGACCACAATGCTTTGAGACTAGATGTGAATTACAGGGGAAAAAACGTAAAAAACACAAACACATGGAGGCTAAACAATACATTACTAAATAACCAAGAGATCACTGAAGAAATCAAAGAGGAAATCAAAAAATACCTAGAGA